ATTCTAATTTCTAATGCCAAAATTCAATGTAATTCACAATTTTGTTAAAATCAAGTAAAACATTTTTCTCTTAACAAACCAGAGCTTCTCAATAATTTAAACAGTGTATAATAATCATAATATGTAGATTTTTGATTTTATTAAGAGTAACAAGCTTTTATACTTCCCTATCATTAGCTCCATCTGTGCACATACACCACAACAATAGTTCCATGACAACCCACATTTTTCAAAAAACTGTTTAGTATGTCAAATATGCCTTTCACAGTTGTTGTCTTTAACTCTGCAAAATAGAAATTGCTCAACAATATTAGAATTATCAACAAATCTGTCAAAGCCTAATAATTATGCTTTGAACTTTTGTTTGTACTTTTGTCTATTTTCCAATCAAAATATTTTTTTTTGATTTTTATTTTTTCTAAAATACTCATTAATATCATCAGCTATTTTATTTTTCGGCAGTTAATAGTACTATTGGAAAGTGGCTTACATTGTTTCAACTATACATAAACGCCAGGTCTTATTAATTTTTTGCAAATAATATGAGCTTATATTTTTAGCAATTAGTTCTGCAACTTTAAATAATGTTTCAAGAGCTTTATTAAATATAGTTACTCTTTTTTATACCATATGCAGCTTTTTTATTTGAATTCAAAAGGTGTTCAAAATATGGATATGTTTTTAATGACTCATCYGGATGTTTTGTTGATTGCTTTTTAAATTTATTGGGTGCCATTGCTTCATTACTTAACTTTTAAATGATTATATTCATTTTCACAAATAGTAAAGTGTAGATGTATTTATACAGAAGCTTTTTTTGTATTTTGCTCAAAATGATACTTGTGTTTTAATGTTGTGTATTGTTTAAGTGTTTACTGTTACAAGAATCAAACTGTATTATTTGTATTTTATTTTAATTAATTTAAAAAATTTTACAAATAATACTTAATGAATTATAGATGACAATTTTTTTTTTTTTTACTCAGAAATATAATTATGAAATTAACTATATTTTAATACTAAACATTATWTTTATTAGGGACTGCCAGCAGAATTTGCCATGTTCCTAAACTACAGCAGAGGCTTAAGGTTTGAAGAATCACCAGACTATATGTACTTGAGACAACTATTCCGCATTCTATTTAGAACATTAAATCACCAATATGATTACATATTTGATTGGACCATGTTGAAACAAAAAGAGTACAATAATGATGGACAAAGTGCTGCTGTACCACAAGGCGGCTCACCTGTATCTGGCGCAGCTGCTGCTGGCGGACCACAACCATTTCCCCCCCAGACGTCAGCTACCCTAGGTAACCCATGAACAAATAAAATGTTAATGGAAGAAAATTATGATCTTAGTTCAATAAACAAACTGAAATCTTAAAAAACAAAAAAAGCATTTGAAAGTTTATTCTTATGTATTGTAATATTCAATGATTAGCAATTTAATTATTTCTCTTTCACAGTTTGTTCAATTTTTCAATCGTAATTTTTTTTACTTAAGCTAACATAATACAATAATAACACAAAAAACTTGAAAGACAAAGAAAAAAATGTGTGTTAATATTTTTCTAGCTACTGCGAACCAGGCGAGCAAGAACTGAGCCTTCATGTACTTTAATTTTAGCTTTGAATTTATATATTAATATAAATATTTTGCAATTCAGCAACTAATTAAAGCAATGTCAACTCTGAAATTCAAATCTTTTTATTTTTCAATTTTCAAAATTGTGCACAAATATTTAAAAAAAAATCTCACACAAAGTGTATAATTWTATATATTTTTTTTTTAGTGTATTACATCATAATGTACAACAATTTTTGTTTCAGGTAATCGCTAAAATTAAAACTAAACAATGGATATCCCTTATCCTTTAACTCTCCTGGCCCCTTTATATAAAATGCGATTTTGTATTATTTTTTATTTGCCGTAATTATATAGCATTAAAAAAGTTATATATATATTTATAAATCGCGCCTTCCTCTATTTTGTGGAGTGAAGTGGTCGGCCAAAACTGATATACTCCCATCTCTCTTTTTTATTATTATTATTAATTCCTCTCATTGACTTTTATTATTATGGAAACCAACTATTTTGAAAATACACACCCTCGTATGTATTGTCAATTCAAATAAGTCGTACTTCATATAATATATATGTATATGTATATATACATAGATATAAATATATATATATATATATGTTTTTTTTCAAAGTTAAGTATTAGGTGATACAGAAACTTACTTTTAAATTAAAATAATTATATATAAATAAATGTCGTTTATGTATTAAATAAAAATAAAAAACTATAACTCATTTTTATTATTACTTTAAGTTGCATTTAATGTTATTTTTTACTTTGTTTCCTATTTTATTATTTTTGAACTATTCAATATTCATAAATAGATGCATAAATAAAATAAATAATAAAATAATTTCAGAATTTTGTAAGATATTATGTTCAACATTATTGAACTTTAATTTATGCTAATAATGTTCATAACTTAAGAAGTATTAATGAATAATTTTTTTTATTGCTTAACTGTTGATTATTAATGAATTTACTTGGGCGATATGTATTTATTTTGTTCACAAGTAATGTTTCCTCCAGTGTAAAAGTTAACATAATTTAAGAATTTTATTTTGTTCATATTTTAGTATTGTACCTATGTATACATGTATATTATTTTTATATGTATATATATATATATATAAAAAGAAATATGTACATTACTTTACATTATAGATTATGCTAAAATATTTTCTAGGATATATGTTAATATTTAATATATCCAAAGGGGATAACTGTACCATAATTTATGGTTTCTGCTTAACACATTTAAAACATGACAATTTTGTTGTATTTTATTCTCTATAATATAACTAAATCAAGTAAATCATAAAGGATTTTGATAACAGATAAGATTTATACTGAAGTAACGTTTTCTCATYAAACAATAACTGAGTTTAGTATAATAAATTAACTTAGGCCTAAATGTGATGGTGATTAATTAAACTGGAATTACATTTATACCATCTGTTTTTCTGTGGGCAAAAGTTGAGCTATCTTATAATATTCATTTTTACTTCGGTTAAAAAATAAATATTTTTAAGTACAATGAAAGCCAGTAGTACCAAGCACTAAAAAAAGTACTATTGTTAAATTTATTTTCAGAAAATACTACTCACCAAAAATGTTTAATCCAAACTCGTGTTGTTAAAAGTATGAAGGTTATTACTATATTATTGTAATACTTTATTATACTATCTACATTACCTATATGAGCAGCCKTAATGTCTTAATGACCATAAGAGGCTAAGCGCCAAGAACTATCCACCCCATTTAAGATATTTTTTTAACAACACTTGTTAGGGGGTTGGACTCCGCTAATGAAATATGATATTCATCATTCAAAGATCATAATATAAGTTATGACTTATAACTGTTGATTAATTCCGAGCAAGTCATACATGAACTAAGTGGTAAATGATTTTTAAGGATGGTAATGAATAATAATTATTTAATAACTTGTATTCACAGTATATTAGTTAGATTTTCTCGAATTATTGCTTATATCCAAAGGTTACTCATATCACTAGTGACAAATGCTATTTTAATTTCTAAGTGTTGTTCAATACAGAATCTTGCAATCCAACACTATGTTTTTACCGTTATATTCATAAATTAAAAATTAAATAAACATATATACTATATAACCCTCAATAATCTGATACTCTCTTAATCCAACAACCTCCAGTTTCATGTAAGTTGGACAAGCAAGGTCCTACCATATAATTAAACTTATATTTAATTAGTTATATTATGGTGTGAAATGAGTTCATGATAGGTGCTGAATAAATGTTACCACACTTTATAAATTTTAAACTTAATGTTTTAATTTATCTAGTAAACTGCCTGGTGTTGAAGATTAACATCTGATACGGCATACAAAGCATTTTAATAATAATTCAAATTTTAAATATGATAAATTACATCAAAATTCTATAAGTTAAAAACAAAATGTAAAAAACTACTCCTACAATATAGTATCTAGGCTTGATATTTGACCACCTGACCACGGCTTTAGATAGAATGGTTGCACGTCGACGTATGTTAAGCTTACTAATTGACTGACAGTTAGGGCCATCTAGCGTTGACTTCTATATGTTTAACTAAATCTTGCTAAAA